GTACGCAGCTGTACGTCAATGTTACACAGGGGTCGGCTATACTTCTCTGGTCTCGGTCCGGGTTAGGGCGAGCAGACTAAAGCGGTAGTCTGTGAGATTGTTTGCGAAGTGCTATGTGGAAAAGAGTTATAGGATTTAACCGAAAGAATAAACAATCAATTCTACAGAGTAGAATAACTAGTATCAATCTGTGTAAGAGATGAACTATTGATGAGAGTTGACCACAACGAGTGTAATAATGAAATTCAACACATTCTTATACCCATTGCCTCTGGTCCTGCCATCTCCTCCATCTCCCCTATGCGAGATGGCACAGATGGCGCTGCCATCTGATTCCTTGCTGCCATCTGAGATGGCCAGCCTTGGCGAGATGGCACATCACGTGACCCTAAGCCCCGCGATGATCATAGCCTTCTGACGTGGACGTCCATAGGCTCCCTGCCTCCCATCCGTTGTCAAGGAGAGAATCCTTCTTGTTACCTTGTAACATTACCTCCCCTCTTAGGGCTATCGTCTTAATACCCTAGATTATCGTTTTCCCGTGCCGCGTGTTAAAGCGCTGGCTGCATATAAGGTCGGTAGGCCCCAGGCCCTAACAACTATTCTTTCCTAACTCCAGCCTTCCTAACCATGCCCAAGGTCCCGTCTTCTCGTACCCGTGTTCGCGCTCAAAAGTTGAACGAAGAGCGTTATTCCCGTGCTGACCGTGTAAAAGAGCAGGGGAACGAAATAACCGTTTACCACTGTAAGCGTTGTGAGGAGAAGAATCTTCGGTGTTTCGTGGACACTGCCACTAGGCGTTGCGCTGGCTGTATTTCTGTTAGTGCTAAGTGTAGCTTGTTTGTTTCTAAGGAGGAGTGGGAGAAGGTCTAGCGCAAAAAGCGACAAAAACGCTTGGAACTAGCGCGCATCGAGGAGGATGCCGCACGCGTTCGCCGAGAGCTCCTAGAGGTTGAGTCTCGGGAGCAAGAGTTCGCTGACCGTGATCTCGCCATTCTGAGTTTTCAGGATCGCGCGAAGGAGAAAGCCGAGGGGAGCTCTGCCCCTAGTACGGACCTTCCTTCAACCAGACCATCGCTATCCAGATTCTCGACTAACCCGGGCTGGTTACAGGCTGATTATTCCTTCAATCCTTCTTTTGATTATTCCCTCCTTTTCGCAAGAACAGTCCCGTCTTCTTCAGGAGCTTCCTATGGTACTCACGTACCAGTAACTTGCAGTTCGTCAGGTTTCCTTCAGGTTCCCAAGTGTTATAGCTCTCAGGCCATCCTTGCCACTTAACCAAGTACTTCCACTGACTACTAATTTTCCGCAGGTCCTTAATTTCTTCGACCTCGTACTCATCGTCTTCGAGCTCTATATCCGTTGCTAGCTCGGCGTCTAGAGGCGCTAGCTCCAGGAGTTTCTTATGAAAGACAGAGTGGATTCGCATGCCTAGTAGGAGTTTTAACTTGTAATTTACTTTCCTAACTTCCTCTAGGATTTCAAATAGTCCTACTTAGAGGTTGTCCAATTTTTTGCATAGTCGCTTAGTTTTTAGGTTTTGTCTTGACAAGAAAACTCTGTCCCCCTTCTTAAAGGTTGGTCCCTTAATCCTTTGCTTATTCGCAGCTTGTGCTGTCGTGAGGTTCTGTTGAGCGATACTCTTGCTTAATTCTATATACAGTTCTTGCATCAGTCGTGCTTTATCGTCTGCGCCTACCGCGATACTTTCAATATCTTTAGGGTCCCGATAAGCGACTGGCTTATACCTGTAGTTCGCGTAGTGCGGTGACTTTTTTGTCGTAGCTAATTTCAAGCTATTGTAAGCTAATTGAGCGGTCAGCAGGAGTTCAACCTAGTTGTCCTGTAGCTTGTTGGCGTACATTCGTAAGTACTGCTCTAAAGTCTGATTTATTCGTTCTGTCTAGCTATCTGTTTCTAGGTGGAAGCTAGTTAATAGCTTCTTCTTGACTCCTAATTTTGCTAGGAATGTGTCCTAATACTTAGACGTAAACAGTTTGTCTCTATCTGTTATAAATTCTTTAGGCATCCCGTGCTCCGCTGTTAATACTCTAGTGACCTCGTAGGCACATTCGTCTGCCGTAATGGTCTCTTCTATGGCTCTGAACTTTGCTGCCTTGGTCAATCGACATACGATTACCAGTATCGTGTCGCAGAGTCGGCCGGATCCAGGTTCTCTTGATTTCGGGAGCTTCACTATGAAGTCCATCGTAACACTAGTCCATGGTCGTGTTAGTGGCTATAAGGGCTGCAACAGGCCATAGGGCTTATGTCTTTTGGGCTTATTGCAATGGCAGGCCAAATAGTTGCCTAATACTTCCTGCACCTTCGCTCGCAAGCGTGGTATGGCAAACACCTTTACTAGTCTTCTAACTATCTCTTCTATTCTTGCATGTCCGTACTCTAGGGACTTATGCAGTTCCTTGATGAGACTTGATCTTATGTGTGGAGGTACATATGTTCAATCCTTCAAAATCATATCTCGGTACTCTCGTTCATCCTGTAACAATCCATCGGAGCCTTCAGCGTCGGGCTCGAATTGCCAGTTGGCTGCTCTCTGCTGCCATTGCTGCTGTAGCGTTTCTACCTGCGCGGCCACCTTGGCTACCTTAGCCAGTTCCGGCTGGTTGTATCTCAAGCTGCCGTCAGGCATCCGCTTA